CATTGATATAGAACTGTGAATCTGTTACATAAAGTACGATGTCGTGTCCATTGATATAGAACTGTGAATCTGTTACATAAAGTACGATGTCGTGTCCCATTGATATAGAACTGTGAATCTGTTACATAAAGTACGATGTCGTGTCCATTGATATAGAACTGTGAATCTGTTACATAAAGTACGATGTCGTGTCCATTGATATAGAACTGTGAATCTGTTACATAAAGTACGATGTCGTGTCCCATTGATATAGAACTGTGAATCTGTTACGTAAAGTACGATGTCGTGTCCATTGATATAGAACTGTGAATCTGTTACATAAAGTACGATGTCGTGTCCATTGATATAGAACTGTGAATCTGTTACATAAAGTACGATGTCGTGTCCCATTGATATAGAACTGTGAATCTGTTACATAAAGTACGATGTCGTGTCCATTGATATAGAACTGTGAATCTGTTACATAAAGTACGATGTCGTGTCCCATTGATATAGAACTGTGAATCTGTTACATAAAGTACGATGTCGTGTCCATTGATATAGAACTGTGAATCTGTTACATAAAGTACGATGTCGTGTCCCATTGATATAGAACTGTGAATCTGTTACATAAAGTACGATGTCGTGTCCATTGATATAGAACTGTGAATCTGTTACATAAAGTACGATGTCGTGTCCATTGATATAGAACTGTGAATCTGTTACATAAAGTACGATGTCGTGTCCATTGATATAGAACTGTGAATCTGTTACATAAAGTACGATGTCGTGTCCATTGATATAGAACTGTGAATCTGTTACATAAAGTACGATGTCGTGTCCATTGATATAGAACTGTGAATCTGTTACATAAAGTACGATGTCGTGTCCCATTGATATAGAACTGTGAATCTGTTACATAAAGTACGATGTCGTGTCCATTGATATAGAACTGTGAATCTGTTACATAAAGTACGATGTCGTGTCCATTGATATAGAACTGTGAATCTGTTACATAATGTACGATATCGTGTCCATTGATATAGAACTGTGAATCTGTTACATAAAGTACGATGTCGTGTCCATTGATATAGAACTGTGAATCTGTTACATAAAGTACGATGTCGTGTCCCATTGATATAGAACTGTGAATCTGTTACATAAAGTACGATGTCGTGTCCATTGATATAGAACTGTGAATCTGTTACATAAAGTACGATGTCGTGTCCCATTGATATAGAACTGTGAATCTGTTACATAAAGTACGATGTCGTGTCCATTGATATAGAACTGTGAATCTGTTACATAAAGTACGATGTCGTGTCCATTGATATAGAACTGTGAATCTGTTACATAAAGTACGATGTCGTGTCCATTGATATAGAACTGTGAATCTGTTACATAAAGTACGATGTCGTGTCCATTGATATAGAACTGTGAATCTGTTACATAAAGTACGATGTCGTGTCCCATTGATATAGAACTGTGAATCTGTTACATAAAGTACGATGTCGTGTCCATTGATATAGAACTGTGAATCTGTTACATAAAGTACGATGTCGTGTCCATTGATATAGAACTGTGAATCTGTTACATAAAGTACGATGTCGTGTCCCATTGATATAGAACTGTGAATCTGTTACATAAAGTACGATGTCGTGTCCATTGATATAGAACTGTGAATCTGTTACATAAAGTACGATGTCGTGTCTCATTGATATAGAACTGTGAATCTGTTACATAAAGTACGATGTCGTGTCCATTGATATAGAACTGTGAATCTGTTACATAAAGTACGATGTCGTGTCCCATTGATATAGAACTGTGAATCTGTTACATAAAGTACGATGTCGTGTCCCATTGATATAGAACTGTGAATCTGTTACATAAAGTACGATGTCGTGTCCCATTGATATAGAACTGTGAATCTGTTACATAAAGTACGATGTCGTGTCCATTGATATAGAACTGTGAATCTGTTACATAAAGTACGATGTCGTGTCCATTGATATAGAACTGTGAATCTGTTACATAAAGTACGATGTCGTGTCCCATTGATATAGAACTGTGAATCTGTTACATAAAGTACGATGTCGTGTCCCATTGATATAGAACTGTGAATCTGTTACATAAAGTACGATGTCGTGTCCATTGATATAGAACTGTGAATCTGTTACATAAAGTACGATGTCGTGTCCATTGATATAGAACTGTGAATCTGTTACATAAAGTACGATGTCGTGTCCCATTGATATAGAACTGTGAATCTGTTACATAAAGTACGATGTCGTGTCCATTGATATAGAACTGTGAATCTGTTACATAAAGTACGATGTCGTGTCCATTGATATAGAACTGTGAATCTGTTACATAAAGTACGATGTCGTGTCCCATTGATATAGAACTGTGAATCTGTTACATAAAGTACGATGTCGTGTCCATTGATATAGAACTGTGAATCTGTTACATAAAGTACGATGTCGTGTCCATTGATATAGAACTGTGAATCTGTTACATAAAGTACGATGTCGTGTCCCATTGATATAGAACTGTGAATCTGTTACATAAAGTACGATGTCGTGTCCATTGATATAGAACTGTGAATCTGTTACATAAAGTACGATGTCGTGTCCATTGATATAGAACTGTGAATCTGTTACATAAAGTACGATGTCGTGTCCCATTGATATAGAACTGTGAATCTGTTACATAAAGTACGATGTCGTGTCCATTGATATAGAACTGTGAATCTGTTACATAAAGTACGATGTCGTGTCCCATTGATATAGAACTGTGAATCTGTTACATAAAGTACGATGTCGTGTCCATTGATATAGAACTGTGAATCTGTTACATAAAGTACGATGTCGTGTCCCATTGATATAGAACTGTGAATCTGTTACATAAAGTACGATGTCGTGTCCATTGATATAGAACTGTGAATCTGTTACATAAAGTACGATGTCGTGTCCATTGATATAGAACTGTGAATCTGTTACATAAAGTACGATGTCGTGTCCATTGATATAGAACTGTGAATCTGTTACATAAAGTACGATGTCGTGTCCCATTGATATAGAACTGTGAATCTGTTACATAAAGTACGATGTCGTGTCCATTGATATAGAACTGTGAATCTGTTACATAAAGTACGATGTCGTGTCCATTGATATAGAACTGTGAATCTGTTACATAAAGTACGATGTCGTGTCCATTGATATAGAACTGTGAATCTGTTACATAAAGTACGATGTCGTGTCCCATTGATATAGAACTGTGAATCTGTTACATAAAGTACGATGTCGTGTCCATTGATATAGAACTGTGAATCTGTTACATAAAGTACGATGTCGTGTCCATTGATATAGAACTGTGAATCTGTTACATAAAGTACGATGTCGTGTCTCATTGATATAGAACTGTGAATCTGTTACATAAAGTACGATGTCGTGTCCATTGATATAGAACTGTGAATCTGTTACATAAAGTACGATGTCGTGTCCCATTGATATAGAACTGTGAATCTGTTACATAAAGTACGATGTCGTGTCCATTGATATAGAACTGTGAATCTGTTACGTAAAGTACGATGTCGTGTCCCATTGATATAGAACTGTGAATCTGTTACATAAAGTACGATGTCGTGTCCATTGATATAGAACTGTGAATCTGTTACATAAAGTACGATGTCGTGTCCATTGATATAGAACTGTGAATCTGTTACATAAAGTACGATGTCGTGTCCATTGATATAGAACTGTGAATCTGTTACATAAAGTACGATGTCGTGTCCCATTGATATAGAACTGTGAATCTGTTACATAAAGTACGATGTCGTGTCCATTGATATAGAACTGTGAATCTGTTACATAAAGTACGATGTCGTGTCCATTGATATAGAACTGTGAATCTGTTACATAAAGTACGATGTCGTGTCCCATTGATATAGAACTGTGAATCTGTTACATAAAGTACGATGTCGTGTCCATTGATATAGAACTGTGAATCTGTTACATAAAGTACGATGTCGTGTCCCATTGATATAGAACTGTGAATCTGTTACATAGTACGATGTCGTGTCCATTGATATAGAACTGTGAATCTGTTACATAAAGTACGATGTCGTGTCCCATTGATATAGAACTGTGAATCTGTTACATAAAGTACGATGTCGTGTCCATTGATATAGAACTGTGAATCTGTTACATAAAGTACGATGTCGTGTCCATTGATATAGAACTGTGAATCTGTTACATAAAGTACGATGTCGTGTCCATTGATATAGAACTGTGAATCTGTTACATAAAGTACGATGTCGTGTCCATTGATATAGAACTGTGAATCTGTTACATAAAGTACGATGTCGTGTCCATTGATATAGAACTGTGAATCTGTTACATAAAGTACGATGTCGTGTCCCATTGATATAGAACTGTGAATCTGTTACATAAAGTACGATGTCGTGTCCATTGATATAGAACTGTGAATCTGTTACATAAAGTACGATGTCGTGTCCATTGATATAGAACTGTGAATCTGTTACATAAAGTACGATGTCGTTCCCATTGATATAGAACTGTGAATCTGTTACATAAAGTACGATGTCGTGTCCCTTGATATAGAACTGTGAATCTGTTACATAAAGTACGATGTCGTGTCCATTGATATAGAACTGTGAATCTGTTACATAAAGTACGATGTCGTGTCCATTGATATAGAACTGTGAATCTGTTACATAAAGTACGATGTCGTGTCCATTGATATAGAACTGTGAATCTGTTACATAAAGTACGATGTCGTGTCCATTGATATAGAACTGTGAATCTGTTACATAAGTGTACGATGTCGTGTCCATTGATATAGAACTGTGAATCTGTTACATAAAGTACGATGTCGTGTCCATTGATATAGAACTGTGAATCTGTTACATAAAGTACGATGTCGTGTCCATTGATATAGAACTGTGAATCTGTTACATAAAGTACGATGTCGTGTCCCATTGATATAGAACTGTGAATCTGTTACATAAAAGTACGATGTCGTGTCCCATTGATATAGAACTGTGAATCTGTTACATAAAGTACGATGTCGTGTCCATTGATATAGAACTGTGAATCTGTTACATAAAGTACGATGTCGTGTCCATTGATATAGAACTGTGAATCTGTTACATAAAGTACGATGTCGTGTCCATTGATATAGAACTGTGAATCTGTTACATAAAGTACGATGTCTTGTCCATTGATATAGAACTGTGAATCTGTTACATAAAGTACGATGTCGTGTCCCTTGATATAGAACTGTGAATCTGTTACATAAAGTACGATGTCGTGTCCATTGATATAGAACTGTGAATCTGTTACATAAAGTACGATGTCGTGTCCATTGATATAGAACTGTGAATCTGTTACATAAAGTACGATGTCGTGTGCCATTGATATAGAACTGTGAATCTGTTACATAAAGTACGATGTCTTGTCCATTGATATAGAACTGTGAATCTGTTACATAAAGTACGATGTCGTGTCCATTGATATAGAACTGTGAATCTGTTACATAAAGTACGATGTCGTGTCCCATTGATATAGAACTGTGAATCTGTTACATAAAGTACGATGTCGTGTCCATTGATATAGAACTGTGAATCTGTTACATAAAGTACGATGTCGTGTCCCATTGATATAGAACTGTGAATCTGTTACATAAAGTACGATGTCGTGTCCATTGATATAGAACTGTGAATCTGTTACATAAAGTACGATGTCGTGTCCATTGATATAGAACTGTGAATCTGTTACATAAAGTACGATGTCGTGTCCATTGATATAGAACTGTGAATCTGTTACATAAAGTACGATGTCGTGTCCCATTGATATAGAACTGTGAATCTGTTACATAAAGTACGATGTCGTGTCCATTGATATAGAACTGTGAATCTGTTACATAAAGTACGATGTCGTGTCCATTGATATAGAACTGTGAATCTGTTACATAAAGTACGATGTCGTGTCCATTGATATAGAACTGTGAATCTGTTACATAAAGTACGATGTCGTGTCCATTGATATAGAACTGTGAATCTGTTACATAAAGTACGATGTCGTGTCCATTGATATAGAACTGTGAATCTGTTACATAAAGTACGATGTCGTGTCCATTGATATAGAACTGTGAATCTGTTACATAAAGTACGATGTCGTGTCCCATTGATATAGAACTGTGAATCTGTTACATAAAGTACGATGTCGTGTCCATTGATATAGAACTGTGAATCTGTTACATAAAGTACGATGTCGTGTCCATTGATATAGAACTGTGAATCTGTTACATAAAGTACGATGTCGTGTCCATTGATATAGAACTGTGAATCTGTTACATAAAGTACGATGTCGTGTCCATTGATATAGAACTGTGAATCTGTTACATAAAGTACGATGTCGTGTCCATTGATATAGAACTGTGAATCTGTTACATAAAGTACGATGTCGTGTCCATTGATATAGAACTGTGAATCTGTTACATAAAGTACGATGTCGTGTCCCATTGATATAGAACTGTGAATCTGTTACATAAAGTACGATGTCGTGTCCATTGATATAGAACTGTGAATCTGTTACATAAAGTACGATGTCGTGTCCCATTGATATAGAACTGTGAATCTGTTACATAAAGTACGATGTCGTGTCCATTGATATAGAACTGTGAATCTGTTACATAAAGTACGATGTCGTGTCCATTGATATAGAACTGTGAATCTGTTACATAAAGTACGATGTCGTGTCCCATTGATATAGAACTGTGAATCTGTTACATAAAGTACGATGTCGTGTCCCATTGATATAGAACTGTGAATCTGTTACATAAAGTACGATGTCGTGTCCATTGATATAGAACTGTGAATCTGTTACATAAAGTACGATGTCGTGTCCCATTGATATAGAACTGTGAATCTGTTACATAAAGTACGATGTCGTGTCCATTGATATAGAACTGTGAATCTGTTACATAAAGTACGATGTCGTGTCCATTGATATAGAACTGTGAATCTGTTACATAAAGTACGATGTCGTGTCCCATTGATATAGAACTGTGAATCTGTTACATAAAGTACGATGTCGTGTCCATTGATATAGAACTGTGAATCTGTTACATAAAGTACGATGTCGTGTCCATTGATATAGAACTGTGAATCTGTTACATAAAGTACGATGTCGTGTCCATTGATATAGAACTGTGAATCTGTTACATAAAGTACGATGTCGTGTCCCATTGATATAGAACTGTGAATCTGTTACATAAAGTACGATGTCGTGTCCATTGATATAGAACTGTGAATCTGTTACATAAAGTACGATGTCGTGTCCATTGATATAGAACTGTGAATCTGTTACATAAAGTACGATGTCGTGTCCATTGATATAGAACTGTGAATCTGTTACATAAAGTACGATGTCGTGTCCATTGATATAGAACTGTGAATCTGTTACATAAAGTACGATGTCGTGTCCCATTGATATAGAACTGTGAATCTGTTACATAAAGTACGATGTCGTGTCCATTGATATAGAACTGTGAATCTGTTACATAAAGTACGATGTCGTGTCCATTGATATAGAACTGTGAATCTGTTACATAAAGTACGATGTCGTGTCCATTGATATAGAACTGTGAATCTGTTACATAAAGTACGATGTCGTGTCCCATTGATATAGAACTGTGAATCTGTTACATAAAGTACGATGTCGTGTCCATTGATATAGAACTGTGAATCTGTTACATAAAGTACGATGTCGTGTCCCATTGATATAGAACTGTGAATCTGTTACATAAAGTACGATGTCGTGTCCATTGATATAGAACTGTGAATCTGTTACATAAAGTACGATGTCGTGTCCATTGATATAGAACTGTGAATCTGTTACATAAAGTACGATGTCGTGTCCATTGATATAGAACTGTGAATCTGTTACATAAAGTACGATGTCGTGTCCATTGATATAGAACTGTGAATCTGTTACATAAAGTACGATGTCGTGTCCATTGATATAGAACTGTGAATCTGTTACATAAAGTACGATGTCGTGTCCCATTGATATAGAACTGTGAATCTGTTACATAAAGTACGATGTCGTGTCCATTGATATAGAACTGTGAATCTGTTACATAAAGTACGATGTCGTGTCCATTGATATAGAACTGTGAATCTGTTACATAAAGTACGATGTCGTGTCCCATTGATATAGAACTGTGAATCTGTTACATAAAGTACGATGTCGTGTCCATTGATATAGAACTGTGAATCTGTTACATAAAGTACGATGTCGTGTCCATTGATATAGAACTGTGAATCTGTTACATAAAGTACGATGTCGTGTCCATTGATATAGAACTGTGAATCTGTTACATAAAGTACGATGTCGTGTCCATTGATATAGAACTGTGAATCTGTTACATAAAGTACGATGTCGTGTCCATTGATATAGAACTGTGAATCTGTTACATAAAGTACGATGTCGTGTCCATTGATATAGAACTGTGAATCTGTTACATAAAGTACGATGTCGTGTCCATTGATATAGAACTGTGAATCTGTTACATAAAGTACGATGTCGTGTCCATTGATATAGAACTGTGAATCTGTTACATAAAGTACGATGTCGTGTCCATTGATATAGAACTGTGAATCTGTTACATAAAGTACGATGTCGTGTCCCATTGATATAGAACTGTGAATCTGTTACATAAAGTACGATGTCGTGTCCATTGATATAGAACTGTGAATCTGTTACATAAAGTACGATGTCGTGTCCCATTGATATAGAACTGTGAATCTGTTACATAAAGTACGATGTCGTGTCCATTGATATAGAACTGTGAATCTGTTACATAAAGTACGATGTCGTGTCCATTGATATAGAACTGTGAATCTGTTACATAAAGTACGATGTCGTGTCCCATTGATATAGAACTGTGAATCTGTTACATAAAGTACGATGTCGTGTCCATTGATATAGAACTGTGAATCTGTTACATAAAGTACGATGTCGTATCCATTGATATAGAACTGTGAATCTGTTACATAAAGTACGATGTCGTGTCCCATTGATATAGAACTGTGTATCTGTTACATAAAGTACGATGTCTTGTCCATTGATATAGAACTGTGAATCTGTTACATAAAGTACGATGTCGTGTCCATTGATATAGAACTGTGAATCTGTTACATAAAGTACGATGTCGTGTCCCATTGATATAGAACTGTGAATCTGTTACATAAAGTACGATGTCGTGTCCATTGATATAGAACTGTGAATCTGTTACATAAAGTACGATGTCGTGTCCCATTGATATAGAACTGTGAATCTGTTACATAAAGTACGATGTCGTGTCCCATTGATATAGAACTGTGAATCTGTTACATAAAGTACGATGTCGTGTCCATTGATATAGAACTGTGAATCTGTTACATAAAGTACGATGTCGTGTCCATTGATATAGAACTGTGAATCTGTTACATAAAGTACGATGTCGTGTCCATTGATATAGAACTGTGAATCTGTTACATAAAGTACGATGTCGTGTCCATTGATATAGAACTGTGAATCTGTTACATAAAGTACGATGTCGTGTCCCATTGATATAGAACTGTGAATCTGTTACATAAAGTACGATGTCGTGTCCATTGATATAGAACTGTGAATCTGTTACATAAAGTACGATGTCGTGTCCCATTGATATAGAACTGTGAATCTGTTACATAAAGTACGATGTCGTGTCCATTGATATAGAACTGTGAATCTGTTACATAAAGTACGATGTCGTGTCCCATTGATATAGAACTGTGAATCTGTTACATAAAGTACGATGTCGTGTCCCATTGATATAGAACTGTGAATCTGTTACATAAAGTACGATGTCGTGTCCATTGATATAGAACTGTGAATCTGTTACATAAAGTACGATGTCGTGTCCATTGATATAGAACTGTGAATCTGTTACATAAAGTACGATGTCGTGTCCATTGATATAGAACTGTGAATCTGTTACATAAAGTACGATGTCGTGTCCATTGATATAGAACTGTGAATCTGTTACATAAAGTACGATGTCGTGTCCATTGATATAGAACTGTGAATCTGTTACATAAAGTACGATGTCGTGTCCATTGATATAGAACTGTGAATCTGTTACATAAAGTACGATGTCGTGTCCCATTGATATAGAACTGTGAATCTGTTACATAAAGTACGATGTCGTGTCCATTGATATAGAACTGTGAATCTGTTACATAAAGTACGATGTCGTGTCCCATTGATATAGAACTGTGAATCTGTTACATAAAGTACGATGTCGTGTCCATTGATATAGAACTGTGAATCTGTTACATAAAGTACGATGTCGTGTCCATTGATATAGAACTGTGAATCTGTTACATAAAGTACGATGTCGTGTCCCATTGATATAGAACTGTGAATCTGTTACATAAAGTACGATGTCGTGTCCATTGATATAGAACTGTGAATCTGTTACATAAAGTACGATGTCGTGTCCATTGATATAGAACTGTGAATCTGTTACATAAAGTACGATGTCGTGTCCCATTGATATAGAACTGTGAATCTGTTACATAAAGTACGATGTCGTGTCCATTGATATAGAACTGTGAATCTGTTACATAAAGTACGATGTCGTGTCCCATTGATATAGAACTGTGAATCTGTTACATAAAGTACGATGTCGTGTCCATTGATATAGAACTGTGAATCTGTTACATAAAGTACGATGTCGTGTCCATTGATATAGAACTGTGAATCTGTTACATAAAGTACGATGTCGTGTCCATTGATATAGAACTGTGAATCTGTTACATAAAGTACGATGTCGTGTCCCATTGATATAGAACTGTGAATCTGTTACATAAAGTACGATGTCGTGTCCATTGATATAGAACTGTGAATCTGTTACATAAAGTACGATGTCGTGTCCCATGATATAGAACTTTGAATCTGTTACATAAAGTACGATGTCGTGTCCATTGATATAGAACTGTGAATCTGTTACATAAAGTACGATGTCGTGTCCCATTGATATAGAACTGTGAATCTGTTACATAAAGTACGATGTCGTGTCCATTGATATAGAACTGTGAATCTGTTACATAAAGTACGATGTCGTGTCCATTGATATAGAACTGTGAATCTGTTACATAAAGTACGATGTCGTGTCCCATTGATATAGAACTGTGAATCTGTTACATAAAGTACGATGTCGTGTCCATTGATATAGAACTGTGAATCTGTTACATAAAGTACGATGTCGTGTCCCATTGATATAGAACTGTGAATCTGTTACATAAAGTACGATGTCGTGTCCATTGATATAGAACTGTGAATCTGTTACATAAAGTACGATGTCGGGTCCCATTGATATAGAACTGTGAATCTGTTACATAAAGTACGATGTCGTGTCTATTGATATAGAACTGTGAATTATAATATCATTATTATTTAGTAAACAAAGGATGATAAAAAATGTTACAATGGACTAACCGATGCAGTCACGTTGCAGCTATGTTATGGTTGTATTAAGAATTGGTCGATTTTAATGAAGAAGCACCATCATAAAATAGCGGCTTAATGCTGCTATGTTTATTGTTTCGTATGGTGTGTGTAGAGAACCGGACAACGTTTTTACTGAAAACGTTTTTACATTCCATCTTAGTTCTCAGGAGTGACAACGCATCTACATTATAATTCTTAATCGACGAAAGATGTGGTAGTCTCCTGTGTGCTCATTTGTTCTTCTTATACTATAAAAAAATATTATTACAACAACGCATTTAACAAAAATAAAGCATCCTTACTTAGCAGTACCGAAGACGCGGCGGTCGAAAGCGCTTTCAGGATGACGAGCAAGAAAACTCGCAAACGTATGCACAAGAAGCAGCAGTGCGTCTGCGAGTGAGGCTCCCAGCGGCGGCCAAGCGCGATGAGTCCACCTTGCGTCCAGGGCGCGACGAACTTTTAATGCGTCGCAACTCGTGCTCTCCTGCTCTCCAACGGTAGCGCACTCATCAGAACCTGGCACAGCTGTCTTCAAAACTTTATCATCACCGCGCCAAGTTAAAGACACGCTGAGTGGCTGCAGAGCACTTCTTCCGCCCGCACATGTCGCAGCACCGCGCCATTCTCGCACGAGCCACACGTACTCGCCGTCCGACGTCATGTTCGCTTTTTGAGCTGCGCATACCACTTGCGCGGCCACACTAGCATTCGCGTTCACAAAAAATACTCGTGCATTCACCTCGCGAAACTTCTTTAGTATAGCGTAGATGCTTTCTTCAGAAGATATGTTTATTTGTCTAATGAGCAAGCCACCTTCACGAATAACCATTACAAGCTCTCGTGCATAAGCTGTGTTCTCCAAAATTACAGCGATGCGTTGATACCTGCAGCGCTTCAAGAGGTGCAAGTAACTACGAGCGAGCACTTGGACTGAACCCGTAACGGCCCGTACTCCACTATCCGGCCGCAGCGCAGGTGACGGTGCGTCGTAAGTAATAAAAGGCAGGTCTACGTCTTGCGCGCGTTTCGCCACTTGCGCTGTCCCTGCACCGGCAGCCACCCACCCTATGGTTTGCTGTTCCCAATGCATGTTCAAAAGACTAAGAAAGTGCTTGTCCATTTCTTCACCCTGTGAGCATTCAATGGAAGTAATGTTTAATCCCAGCATTACGTTTTTTAAGTTTATGATGCTGAGAATCTCCCATGAAATCATTTCATATTCAGTTCGATCTGGATCGTTGCAGCACACGTACAATCGTATTCGATAATGAATCGTCTCTGTAGCTAACCAATCATTCAGGTTTTCTGGATTCCTTAGGCTCCATTCGCAGGCGGCCTCCTCGATATCACCACCATTCTCCATTTCGAGTCTTAGCAACTCTCTTATATGAACAGATTTCGGTGCCAGGCTTCCGACGGTACTGAATATATGAGGTGCATAATAACGCAGTGTTAGATGGTCACCGGAAATTTCGATCGGGGCTTGCAAATCAAAGTCTGGAACGCAGTCAGCTTCGAGATGTGTGGGACAGGGCGGTGCTTGCACGACGTGCACGTCACGATCATCATTCCATAGCGATTGATCTAGGAAGAGAATGGAGTGGTTGGCGGCGGGTGGCGGAGACCGCAGCGCGTCGGCCCGCAGCACACGCAGCAGCAGCGCGTGCGAGCGAGCGCGCTGCCGCAGCGCTGCTGCAGCCCCGCGCAGCTGTGGCGGCGCCAGCACCACCGCACACTGCGGGCACTTGTCCGCCTCATCCTCTTCGTCTGCATCGTCCGCCTCGTTCATCTCGTTCGTCTCGTTGTTCTCGTAAAAATATCTATTTTATAACAAATGCAAAAGCAAATGAATTTGAAACATTTTTATTACTTTGAAATGTTTAACTTCAGTTAATAGGTATCATTGATAATCCATAAAAATATTTTAAAATAGTCTTTCAAAAAGCATTTCCGAACGGGGGTTAGAGTAGCAAAACTGCCTTTACTACAGCTATAAAAGTGCCTAGATGTTTCATTACCAGATTTTGTACCTTCTATTATTATATACCTATTCTTTACCAATTACAAAGCGGATTACTGCACATATTAAGTGGAACTATAAAATATTTAAATTAATAGATTTCACAGTCTTCATTGGCAGGTATCATTACCG